CTGCTCCCCACCCGTGGCCCGCTCTGTGCTCGTTGCTGGCCCCAGGCTCGCGCGCGCCTCGCAAGGGCTCCACGGTCCCGAACGCCCGGAGGAAGAAGCCACGAGAACCCTCGCCCGCGTCCCGCGCCTTCGCCACGGCCGTGAGCGTCCCCTCCCACCTCCCCCACCGCCGCGCTCCGCTTCCTACTCGCGGCTGCCGCGCACCGGGCATGCGCACACGGCCGCACGCGGAGGGCGTGTCCCGGCCGGGGATGCTCCGCTCCGGGTTTTCCTGGAGACTCCGCTCTCCCGGGAGGGTCGGGGAATCGGGGTGCCTGCGGCCCCCTCCTCGCGGGGATTTGCCTCCCCGCTTGGGACTCTGGAGGGAGCCGCGCTCCAAAAAGGACCTGAGGAGGGCAGGGACCGAAGGCCAGAGGGAGCCGAACAACTTCCGAGTTTTAGTTTTACTCACCGTGCCTCTCCTTCTCGCTCCCCTTCCCCAAAACAACTTTCTCTTCCGGGGTCAGGAAGTACCGCCCCGCCGCTTACCTTGAGCCCGGGGTAGCGCTGGAGCCGATTCTGGCTTTCCGACCCCCGGTCCCACTTGTGCCCTGCGTCTGCTCACGCTCTCTATGTCCTGAGAGCATCTTCAGTAAGTAGGGTTTATCTGAGATGTAAGCGTCACCCCTTTCCTGGTGCCACCGAAAGCATAGGTGTCAGAGTCTTCAAAATCTTCTAAAAGATGCTCCGGGAAGAAAGGAGATGGCAAAGGAGCACTTCTGGGCCAGTTCTACCTCGGCCAAGTGTGCCTTGGGGCCTAACCTGGGCTGACGAAGTACAGAAGGGACTGGTCCAGGGGGTCAGGTGAGCCTCCTGCACCTGGCTCTTGTATTTCTTCCAGGACAGCACCCTGCTCCATACAAAGGGGAGATCGCAACCCAAGTAATAGCTTTGAGGGGTGAGGAGCACGACTCTTTCTTTGCCCCTGACACGTTTCCATTACCATAGCCAGACACTTGAACCATCCGTCCCTTTTCTCCTGTTGTTCACCAGTCAGGATCTCAGAATAACCAAAGACACTCCTCGTTGATCCGGTAACAATGGACTGTTTAAAGAGTCTCCTCTGACTCCCCCAACCAGCAGCAGCGGAAGCCCTGCGCTCCCGCAGCTCAAACCCGGGGAAGACTGAAAATTGAGCATGCTTAGTGACCAAGGCAAAGTTGGCTCTGAACCCTTTTTAACGGTCTCTTCAGTACTTCTAATTGTACAGGGCACTTTGCCCAAGTGGAGACGGGAAGGGACGCGAAGCCATCGCATCTCTATCAGGCGGGCCTCTAAATTGAAGAGGGGAGAAATTCCGCTTTTATGTCTACCTCAGGATTACCACCTAGGCCTGCTAGTTACAGCCAGTGCCTACCTAATTGCGGCCGCTCTGCGCTTCTGCTGACTTGATTCCTGCATTCTTGAGGAGGACTTTGAGCCTCCCCTCCTCCTTCATTCTTGCATTCCAGAAGCATGTATAAAGCCCGTTTTCTGCCACCTCCCTTGGAAAAATTTGGTTTCTGATTGAGACATCCAAAAAAATACCTCCTTAACTTGGCGGGCCTTCCAACTGCTTTTTTTAAAAAATTATAGAAAGCTGACCTACTCAGCTTAATGTTGATTTTTCAGAGATATTCACACTAGATTATTTATGATAAATGTATTTTTAAAGTATGGCTGGTCTTTTAAGAATTCCAACCTGAATAAGCGTTCTTATGTGTCTCTGTGTTGTGATCACGTATCGTATCGTCGTATTTCCAAAGACATTGTGGCCTCTTGAACAGCGGATACTCTCACCAGCTTGGCAGGTCTTGAAAACTACCGCGGTCCACATGACTTAACTGCCAGGTTTGTGTTCAGTTAACTCTGAGTTCAAATTAGTTTTCCATTGCTGTTACAAACACCATGACAAAAAGTAACTTAGGGAGGAAACGATTTGTTTGGCTTACATTTCCGGATCACAGTCCATCTTTGAGGTCAGTGATAGCAGGAACCCAGGCAGGACAGGAACCTGGAGATAGGAACGGAAGCAAAGGCCCTGGAGAAATGCTGCCTACTGGCCTATTCAGCTTCCTTTTTTATACAACCCCGGACCACCTGTGTAGGGACGGTACCAACCACGGTGGGTCCTCCCGCATTAGTCTTTAATCACGAAAATGCCTTACAGTTAGCTAACCAGCACAAGGAGACGAGGGTTTATTTAGCTTGCATGTCGGGATCACGATCCATCATTGGAGTAAGGGAGAGCAGGACCTGAACCAAAGGAGAAATAATGCTTATCAGCTTTGTTTCAGGGGCTTAGTAACCATGCTTTCTTTTATAACTTGGAACTACCTCTCCACTGTGGATGTATAATTCAGGATAGTTTACTGCGTAACAACAGATAATAAGTGTGCACATTATTAACCAGACACATGCTAGATGCTAGAACTGCAACAAAGAACAAGACAGCCCTTAGCACCAAGAGAATGAAAATGGCTGGATTAATGGCTTGTTATTTTAATTCCTAACTTTTTTGTAGAATGGTATGGTCATTACGTTTTTAAACTACAAATCCAAGGTGGCAGCTGGTAAGATGGAGATGACTGGGAATTCAGAAATTCAGACATGTAAATTTTAAATTTACATGGGAATGAGATACTACCATCTAGCCATTGGAGTTAAAAAAATAAATAACGCTGATAATCCTATGTTATTGAAGATACAGAGTAATAGGAAGTCAGGCATTGCTGACAAGAAGGAAAATAGTGAAACCACTATGCAAAATAATTCGAAGTTTCTCTTATGTCTGCCCTAATGATGCAGCCATTCCACTCCATGGTATATACACACAAAAAAGGTGGTATAAGCTGTTTGTCATTACCAATGGCAGTTTTGCTACTGTTAGTCAAAACATTGAAACAACTAAATATTAATCAAAAGATTTAAAGGTAGCCTGTAGAAATGATAGACTAGAACTCAATGCTAAGAGGAAATAAACTACAAAAACATGTTTACAAATAAATGTATCTCAAAAAAATATGTCCACAAAAGAACCCACATACAAGCCGAGCGCACACCTTTAATCCTAGCACTTGGGAGCCAGAGGCAGGCAGATATCTGTGAGTTCAAGGCCAGCCTGGTCCACAAGTACAAAGAGAGTTCCAAGACGGCTAGGGCTTCTCCGCAGAAAAACCCTGTCTCAAAAAAACAAAAACAAAACAAACAGAAAAGGCCATAAACAACAAAGTACATATGATACTATATAACATATATAAGATGTAACATATGTAAAATTCTAAACAATGAAAACTGATATAAAATGATACAGTCTAAATCAGTGGCTGCATGCAGCCTGTTTGTATGGAAATGGAAGAAGGGTATAAATGGCAAATGACTTGATAGATTTGGGGAAGTGATGGAACTATTTATTTCAGTGGTAGTTACATACATGTGTGCATTTGTTAAACTCGTAAAACAATCTACTTAAAATAGTGACATTTAACTATACCAAATTTACATGTGAGTGTGTTTAATTTTTTTTTAATAAGAGACTGGCAAGATGGCTCAGTGGGTACAAGCAACTTACACATACACAAGCTTGAAGACCTGAATTTGGCTTCCTGGCACATATATAAAAGCCAAGCATGGCTGCATGAGCCTCTAACCACCCAGCTATCAAAAAAAACAAAAAACAAAAAACCCAGCAAGCTCCAGGTTCAGTAACAGATCCTGTCTCAAGATGGTAAAGAAGAACAAGAGAACAGGACAGCTGATACCCTCTCCTAGCCTCCTCACACAGGAATGCCAGGACACACACACACACACACACACACACACACACACACACACACACACACACAATATAGGTAAATGAATCCTACAGACAGTTGTAAATTAAAACCAAGGCTAGGAATCACATCCCGGTAAGTGGCTACCAATTATCTGCCATATGTCGTGCACTGGGTTACTTTTCTGGGAAACAAAGGGAGTGGCAGAGCTTGGAGTCTTCCTGGGGGAAAGTCGTTGTCAAGGGAATGATATCAAGATATAAACTATAATGGGATAAAGGGTCTTTTTTCTAATCTAGAAAATTTATCAAGAGCCTGAGCTTTTCATCTTGTAAAGGAATACAGGAGTGACCCACTGACAGATATCAATGAGCTAATCAAATCATATGCAAAGCTGGGCACTGAAAAACCAACTCAATTTGTATAAAAACCCCAGGGTAGTTTTAATAAATGAAACTCTCAGACTTTAATCTTGCTTCCCAGATTTAAATTTAAGAGTATTTTTTGTAGAGATGTTTAGAATACAAGACAAGGATACATTCAAACCATTCAGAAACCTGAGAACCTATAGAATTCCATAAACAATTAATTTAGAATTCAACAATCCTTATAATCAGAAGCAAGGCCACTACCTTGTCTCTAATTTCGAATTAGTGCTCCTCCTCCTTTGGCTTTTATAGAAATTACATGTGTGTACATGTATGAATGTGCTCATGCACACACACACTTGAGCTTGACAGTTTAGGTTTACCTGTTGAGGCATCACCCTGGTACCTTCCCTTGCTTTTCCCTTAAAGCATGTATCACATGTCCACTCACGATAGTCCTGAAATGGTTGGGTTTATCTCTAGTGTTTTAGTTTTTGTTTATTGTTGACGCTATCTGACCCTTGTTCTTCCCTTGTAGAACAGTTTCCTCTGGGTGGAAACGTTCCTTCAAGTGGACAAGGAAGTTGTAAACAAACATGACATGTCTGGGAAGAGAAAACTCAGAACATTCTTGTAGCCCTCTAAACAGATGTATAGATGCAGCAGACCACTGCTGGGAGGGAGACCTGCCAGCCAGACTGCCCAGAGAGCTTTCTGAGAACTTTCGATTTGCTTGCGAGATGTACAGAGCTCCAGGGCTACGGCTTTCATGAGC